ATTTGGGGAAAACAAGAGCAACAGGTTTACCAATAATCATAGTAAACTTATACATAATACACAATTTACACATCAAATCCACAAATTTAAAGATATATATGACCTATCTATTTAAATCATGCTACAATCTAAATATTACTTTATAATCCATAGGTTGAAACAAATGTTCTGTGGTAACCTATGAAACAGGAATACAAACTATAAAATCATAATTAACATACTTCTTAATTCCTAAGAGAGTACTCCAGGAAACCTCAAAGACGGCAGATCAGGCATTTTTTGCTGAAACTAAAGTTCTTATGAATATATGCATAAACATAGTCAAAGGTATAAAAATAAAACAACCCAGATACCATGAGTTAATTTTACCTGTTCATATTTAGTTTGGTATAGAGCCCCTGGCATAATCACAGCTTCTCTGGGATATTCTGACTTTCTCCTGACTTAGGGGGGATGACATATTTATTCTTTGCCTTGTTCCAGAAAGGAGTTAAGGTAGCTTAAAAGATAAGATTTAGAAAATACCAGAAAGCACAAATTATAGGTTAAATGAAAAAACAGAGTTTGGGGGAACAGCACACATAAAACCATTTAAGAAAAGGTCAGGGATTAAGCTAAAGCATATTACATTATTCTCCACAGTGATTTTCTGGAAATATTGCAAAATGTGGTATTAGGGGCTTCCCTGGTGGCGCAGTGCTTGAGAGTCCGCCTGCCGATGCAGGAGACGCGGGTTCGTGCCCCGTTTCGGGAAGATCCCACATGCCGCGGAGCGGCTGGGCCCGTGAGCCATGGCCGCTGAGCCTGCGCGTCCGGAGCCTGTGCTCCGCAAATGGGAGAGGCCACAACAGTGAGAGGCCCGCATAACGCAAGAAAAAAAAAAAAAAAAAAAAAAAAAAAAATGTGGTATTAATTTGTAAGAAAACTATTAAACCACTGGTAAATTGGAGATGCAGATCAAATTTCTCTGTTAAATTTTGTATTAACCCTGATGAAACAGATGATGTTACAAATGTATGCGCTTTTTTCTTCGTGCTTGTGAGAAAAAAGTTTTCCTAAATGTCATAATCTGTGACTCTATAGATTTAGTGCCTAGTTCTGGGTAGAGAAAAGCATAGGTTAAAAAAAAAAAAAAACAAAAAAAACCCACAACATTTGGGTACCCTGACTTAATTTCTACCGAGAAACCCACCAACTGGATGCTTGTTGATGACCTGAGGATGGTAGCTACCTTCCAGGTGGCCAGGTGTCCTATGGCTCTTTTGTAGGGACAGAACAAAGCATCAGTTCTAGGGCCTCCTGACTGCATCAGTTCCTCCAGGTCCTCCAGCTCACTTCATTAGGACCCCGCAAGACAAAGAAGAAGGTACACTGAAGAGCAGGAAGCCCACTCAGGTTGGCGTGCTGAGACCACAGCCTCCTCTGCTGCCCAGATGGCCTGCATGTCACAGCCCTTGCCCCAGTCCTTTGGGGGAGGAAAGTTATGGAGGGCTGGGGCAGCATGAGTCAGCTTCTGGGAAATATGAATGGGTTTGTTCAACTCTATTCTTCAGGCCCTGCTTTCAACACATGACAATGAAGGATCTTGTACCTATACACTGTCAGGTATGAAGTGAGGGAGTGAGGATGAAAATAAAGGGCTTGAGGGAAACGCAGGAAGAAAAGGTGGTGGGACATGTGGTGTAAGTTTCAAAACTATTGATTAAGAATAGAATAAAATATCTACCTGAAAACTGAAGTTAGCCACAGCGGCCTATCGTTCTTTGGGGGATGAATGGTCCCAAGTAACACTCCTGAATTTTGGTCACATCAGTAAAGAACAAAGTTCAAGTCTATGGATCTAAAGCTGCAGGTACTGCAATGTTCTTGGCTATGTGGCAAAGCTCCTCTAGGGTTTGTGAGGTGGGCTTATAGGGGAGAGGGTAGTGACTGCCATTTTCCCAATAGCACCCTTCATAGTATAGGCAGGGCCAACTTATCTATTAGGCACCAGGTCTCAGGCCCATAATACATTTAGAGGCCCCCCAAAATGTTTTCTTTTAAATTCGTAAGACAAAAACCAAACTTTTAGATTTAAGGATGTGTTTATATATAAAATTCATTTTATACAAATGCAATTGTAACATTAATTTTTAATTTTTTATGGAAGAAGAGGCCTAAGAAGGCAAAAGTGTCTAAGGCCTATGAAAGTCATAAAGCTGCTTTGAGGGACAATGGTTCAAGGCTAAAATTACAGAGGGGTAAGGAGAGTCTGATCTTGTGGGTCTTATTCCACTGATTTTTCTTGTTTTGAGTGTTACTTTGGGATTAGATTTTTAAGAGTGCTATAGGTCAAACACTAGTGAAGCATTTGTGTCAATTTCCACCAGGCAAAGCTGGAAAAGGAAAATAAATTAAGCTCATTATTTTATTGTCACTGTGCAAAAGAAAGAACCAAATCAGGATGAAGAGACTTGGATGTTTTCAAGTCCCATCTTCACTCTGTAAACATTACTAGAGGTAGGTTTCCCTCTGAGACCCTGCCTCCTAAACTTCCTGCATTACATTGCCACCCTCAGCCCTAGACTTCCTCTCTGTGCTTCTCAAGGCCTGGCTCCTACTGCCCTCAGCAGGCCAAGGTTGGCAGTGACAGGAATGTGGGCACCTGTGGTTACAAAAATGTTTTAAGAATATGATGAGAAAAAAAAAAACAATGAATGAGGGAGGAGGGGAGGAAGATATCAGATTTTAATCTAAAATTACATGATGCAAAAGAAAAAAAATGGGGAAAGAGTTATACCAAAATGTTAACTGTGCTTTCTGCTTTTTAAAAAACATTTTCTCATAAATGTACTCTATCATGAGAAAAAAAAGTATTATTTTAAAAACTGTTCTCTCAAAGCTCTAAACTCTGAATATTACCACCTTTGAGAGTTCCTCATAGTATGGCTTAGGTTACTAAATGTGGCGAACCACTAGCATGCAGAGGACCCAGATTGAGAACAGAACTTTTAACAATTTCCACTATTTTCCAACCCCAATTCATCAATATTACTGGGAAATGTCAATCAAGAAAGCTAACTAATACCACTTTCTAGGATCTGTTCCTGACACAACGAAGAAAGTATGTCAAAAGGAAGGGTAGAAAGGAACAAATCACTACCCTTTTACAGAATCACAGACTTTCTGCCCTTGAATTACAGGTGAAGATTCTGAGGTCCAGAAGGTTACGTGATCTTACCACTGCCACACAACAAAGCTGGTAAGAGAATTAGCGTAAGAACTCAGGTTTCCTGATTCTTGGTCTATAGCTCTAATAAGCTCAGTCCCAAAAGTAACTGCTTTGTAAGTTATGTTTCACCGTTTATCCTAAATACATATAGAAAAATGGAAAACACTACCATTTCTCTTTAAAAACACTCATTAATTTGGGAACTGTAACATCTCAAAATACAAGCTCCAGGTGGGTAAGTGAATCAGAGTGAATCATACAACACATCATACAATCAACAATCAGAGTGAATCATAAGATTTTAGACCTGAAAGGATGCAGGGCAGATAATTTAGACCTCGGTTACACATGAATTTAGGCCCAGAGAAGGTAAACTATATCCCCCAAATCACAAGGTTGAGTCAAGACCCAGGCCATCTAAAACTGGCTCACTGCTCCTTCCAATACTGACTTATTTTCCTTGGATATTCATTAAACCAAAAAAGGTAAAAATACAGAATCATATGCAGATTAGAAGTAATAAAACTGATTATTAATTATTAAAACTGATTATTAATAAGAATGCTTGGAGAAAGGACATAAGTCAATTCTTTAGTTAACAGAAGTAAATTAAAATCAGAATAAATCAGGCAGCATCACTACTAACTTTCATTTGAAAACAAATTTAAATGTAAATCACAATTTTTAGTTTTATTGTTGTTTGAAGATGATGCAAGACCTTTCAATGTCTCAGGCTCATGCATTTGAAAATAAATTCTAAATGTTTGCAATTCTCTGGAGCAGGGTTTGGAAGATAATGGCCAGCAACCTGTTTTCTGTGAGGCTCATGAGCTAAGAATGGTTTTATGTTTTTGAAGGGTTGTTAAAAAACATAAAGAAGAATGTCTGATAGAGATGGTGTGTAGCCTGCAAAGCCTAAGTTACTGACTAACTGCCCCTTTACATAAAAAGTTCACTGATCCCTGTTCTGGATTCAGCAAGTATATGAAACGGGGCTGAATACATAATATGTCCTGGAAGGATTTTTTGTTTTTAAAATTAAGTCTGATTTATTTAAGCTTTATTGTAATCTGCCTCTTTCTCCTCATAGCAGGTAGTAGGAAAAAAAAAAGTCTAGTTTAAGGGTTATGATTACCTGTGTTCTAGTTAACCGAGCCTTTATCACACAAATGAACATAAGTGGACCTATAGTTGAAGCTTATTACGTTATGTATCTAAAATCCATACAAAATGTTTCAGCTGAGAAAATGGCATATCCTACAGTAGTGTTGTTATACAATAAAATGGAAGCAAATATCTGTAATTAAAAAACTGGTACTTTGATTCTCTCCTTTAGATCTCTTGTCTGTTTTGAAGATTTTCTCCTGATGCCTCCCCTGGCCTCCCACAGCATGTCCTTAGATTCATTAAACCAGCAGTTCTCAACCATGTTAATTACGCTGTGACCACCCACCCGTATCTCATTTGCAACCATAAACAAGCCTCACCAAAACACATGAAAAGAATGGAAGTGCTCCTCACAGAGACAGGAGATAGCAAAACTAGAATGACTAGTTCAGGGGGAAATAAAAATCTGAGACACAGTGCACTTATCAACCTGAAGACAGCAGGGAGGCTGCCCTTCAGTCCACACCCTGCTGACCGGCTGAGGAGGACTAAGCGCCACATATGAAAACAAGTCCAAGTCCCTGTTTCTTTCTTGTCACATGGTTTATGTGGCAACATTTGGATTTCGTGAACTAGCAAAAAAAAAAAAAAAAAAAAAACCAAGCTGTACCACTATTAACTAAATTACAATAATTTCAAGGCTATAACTCTGAAAGTACGGTCTACTGTGTCGCAGTTAAGACGTCTTACTTTAAAATAGTCACGTTAACAGCTCCTTTGGCTCCACAGCGCACTTCTCTTCGGCCACTCCATTCTCTGGCTGGCTTTTGTAATTGGAAAGGAATAAATTTTCTATTTGAGTCAAGAATTCTTCAGCAATGAAGCAATTGGCCACTTTGCTCAGAGTTTTCCTCAGACACTCCAAAAGCTAGTTGAAAAGAAAAGTTTTATATTTAAACACAAAAAGTGGTGAGAAGAGGGTTTGCATCACTATCACTATTTTATCCCTTTCCAAATCTCCCATTTTCTAATGCTTAAATGAGAAACATTCTCCTTAAAGGTGACTGAGGATAGACTTTGTTTAATAACTGTACAGCTGAAGTGCAGGAAGCCATTGCTGAGGAATGCTTAGCAAAGCTTGTCCTGAGCCCAGCTCAACAGAAGCAGCACATTCTTCAGTCTGCTACAAATTGTTTGTGGAACTTCTATGGGTTCCCAGGACCCCAGTCGCCTCCCAACTGCTGTCCATGTCCTCATCTGCCCGCAACCCACCCCCATCCTGGGGCAGCGCCTCTCCCCACAGCGGCCTTAAATCTAGGTATGTTAGTCCAGCAGCTCCTTGGTGAGTAATTCTTTGAGACTGGGGGGTGGTGTGGGCGTCAGTCCTGCCTCTTGCAGGGCCTGGAGCCGGGCCTCTGACTGGCGTTTGTCCAGGCCCAGGTGCCAGGAGAGCTGCACTGTGGCCTCCAGAAAGGGTACCAGAAAAGGGTGAGGGCTCTTGTCCCCCAGCAGCTGTAGGGCCTTCTCACAGCGTGCCCGGGACTCCCCGGGGTCCTCCAGCTCCTGGTAGCACACAGCCAGCCCCACCAGGGTCAGCAGAGGGCGGTCTGGGCCCGAGGGGACACCCAGCTGGGCCTGCAGCTGCCAGGCGTTGGCCCAGACCGCCAGGGCCTCGCGGTAGAGGTCAGTGGAGGTGAGGTGCAGTTCCTTTCTGATTTTATATAAGGAGATAAAACTGAAATTGCATGTATGATGCTTTCTACTTTGGACAAACTTGTGACTTTGCTTCATTTTTTAGTAGTTTTATTTACAAAGCCATGAATCCTATAGGATAAAAATCTATGTACATAAAAATACAGGATTCTACCATTTCAAAAATAGGATGATGGAGTCTATTTCCTGGGAAATGTGCATATTAATCTTCAACAGAGCAAAGAAAAAGTGGCTATAATAGGAGGGGGTAAAAAATATTAAAAAGAGGGACTTCCCTGCTGGCGCAGTGGTTAAGAATCCGCCTGCCAATGCAGGGGACATGGGTTCGATCCCTGGTCCCAGGAGATCCCACGAACAACTAAGCCTGAGAGCCACAACTACTGAGCCCGCGTGCCACACTACTGAAGGCTGCATGCTCTAGGGCCCGCATGCTGCAACCACTGAAGCCCGCCCACCTAGAGCCCGTGCTCCACGACAAGAGAAGCCACTGCAATAAGAAGCCCGTGCACTGCAGTAAGAGTAGCCCTGGCTCGTTGCAACCAGAGAAAGCCCACGTGCAGCAAGGGAGACCCAACGCAGCCCAAAAAAAAATTTAAAAAGAAATTTAATGTTAAAATTTTCTATTCCCAAACTGTTACCAAAGGAAAAAAAGAAAGACCAATGTTGCCAATCTTACTGAAATTCATTATACTCACAGAAACAAAACTAGAAGTGAAATAAAATAATTCAAGACTCTTTTTTCTTACCAGAAAGTTAAGTAAAATGACCATTTAAATTTAATTGTTAGATTTATACTACCGTTTTTAAAAATGATCAATTGTTAAAGCTAAATGGAAACATGGCACTTTTGAATTTAATAAAACAAGAAAAATGTTCTCCATTGTGTACAATAATAATGTGCTAAGAAATTTATCAGCCAACATGGACAAATTTTTCCTAAAACAGCATTATTTCTATATGCAAGCATGGGCGCCAAAACATATGACTAATTATCTTCTAGAAATTAATTTTAGAAAGGAAAAAGCAATAAAGGAAATACACAGAAAAGTGTATCCACAAAGCATTAGGCATCATGGGAAAACACATCAAGATGAATAGCTTTGGAATCTGTGAGCAATGAAACCAATTAAAGTGAAGGCAGCTTACTTTCTGCAAACAAGTCAGGTCAGAATCCCGGCGAAAGATTTTATCCATGGGGACACTGCTGTTGGAAGAAATATGCAAACAAACCAATGAAACAAATACTATAAATGAATCAGTTTTGTAATAAACTATCACTGATGCCATACATCACAATTTTATATTTAACTTGGGTTTTCCCTAAAATGTGATTTAATGAGAAACACTGCAGATGTGCAACCATCTCAAACCACAGTACATACCTCCGGGATAGCCTGTATTTTTCTATTATCCATTTTGTCTTTTCAAGCACTAATCCCCACCGAGGTTCTTCTAACATCTGTTGTACTTCAAATTTATAAGGTAAACCTAGAAAAGCATAAAGCAGCACATTTTTACATTTTACATTTTCTTAAATCTCCAATCTCCTTTTAATTACTTAAAATTCCCTTCTGTGTTTTCATAACCGCAGCTTGGCAGACCAGCTAAACAGCACGTTAAACATAGTGGGCATTCATTAAATATGCACTGCCTGGCTGAACTTGGTTCATCAAGTATATTAATGCCAAGCAATTAATAAAGAAAAGTAAAAGTGCCATTTGCATGACAATTCTATGCAAGGAACTGTGACAGGAAAGATGATCACATAATTTATCATCCAAACCAAGACACTTTTGGAGTGAAAGCTGGCACTATTAATAATTGTGCCAGAACCACAGGCTTAAATTGGGATTGACCTAGGCAAACCAAGATATATTCCATCCCAGTGATTTTTTTTTGTAAACACATGTTATCAAGCTTACAGCACTGCTATAAGGTAGGTAGCATTATTCCTATTTAACAGATAAAACTGAGGCTGAGACAGGCTGAACAAGCTCTTTCCACTAGTAAAGCAAAGAGCTTGGATTTCAAATCCCACCAGGCTTGCCCAACTTCTGAGCCCACATTCATTCCACCTCCCTCTACGTGCTGATCTAAGACTAGACAGGGGCTAGGTTTAATTCTGGAGAGGCAGTAACTGCACTTGAGTCACGCTAAACTCTGGAGGAAACAAGTCCAAGGGGTAGATATCACGTACATAAGTCAGAAAGGAAAAAATACCAAAAGATGAGCCTACTTAGACATTTCTCACATATCTTTCAAAATCTCCATGTAATTGTATTTGCAGTATATTAAAGGCTCAGCTGATTCATTACCAAAGGCCAATACCATAATAATAATAACACTTATATAATGCTTACTATGTGCCAGACTTTATAAAGGTACTTTTTATATAGATGTAAGGCCAGTTACATGAACTAGCTACCAGTGTTGTCCCCAATGTTTTTTCTTTTTGACGAGGACACTGAGCCACAGAAAGGTTATTAAATAACCTGTTCTTGAACATATCTAATTAGTAAGAGGTAGAGCCAGGATTTGAACCCAGGCAGTCTGGCTCGAGTGTATGTTCTTAATGTTTACATTATACTGCCTCTCAACTTGCATTTTTGCCATCGTAGGCTTTTCGAGTAAACAAAATGTCAGCAAATCAGAAGGTATTAGGGAAGGTATTAAGAAAAAATCATAATTCTACTTCCACACAATACAAGCATAACTTGTCAATGGGCCCTAAAAAGGCTTTTTTCTCCCCATTTTTTTTTCAGGTGTATGGAAGGAGAGAAAGGAACAGCGAGCCTGATGATAACTGATCTTTTTTCATTTCTCAATTCTCTTCCATTTCATTTTCCCCCTCCAGGAACTTAAGAAGAGTGACACATTATAGTACATAAGCTATTACACAAACTCCTTCTGTGATAACAATCATTTACTTGATATGTTTTGATTACCTACTAAGCACAGACAATAGCTATGATGGTAACTACCTATTCTAGACCTATTATTTACTAAGCACTTTACATACATTACCGACAGCCTCTACAACCTCCTGTAAGCAAGTTAATAATCTTTTCTCATTTTAAAGATTTGGCAAATGAGAATGAGAGGGATTAAGTAACCTGCCCAAGGTAAAATAACTAATATATATCAGAGCTGGAATCTGAATCCAGGTAAGCAACTCCTACTCTTAATGAAAGTAAAAAATGAGACTAAAAGAGAGGTAAATAGATAAATACATTTTCAGTCTGTGCTCATAAAAAAACCATGAAAATACACACACACACACACAACACGTCATACATCTCTATTTGGTATTAAGAATATTTTCTAAGTTAAAAAAAGGTACTAAAACCAGTAAAAATTTCTTTTTGTACTGATTATTTTTTGATATGCTTATTATTTTTTTTAATTGAGGTATAGTTAATTTACAATGTGTTATTTTCAAGCATATAGCAAAGTGATTCAATTATACATATATGTACTGATTATTTTTATCCACTAAAGTGTCAGAATAAAATGAATCACTAAGTATATTTCTGGCCTATTACAAATAGAGAAAATGATTAACCATTGTCTAGACATACTGTAAAGATAGGATTTGGGTACACACCTAATAGAGGGGGAAAAAAAAGAATGAATGAATGAGTGAACAAATAAATAAGTAAAGGATCCAGTTCAAAGTACTGTAAAACAAGGTATCCCAGGGCTTCTAGGAAATTTTAATTCTTGAACCAGAAGGTTTCCAAGAAGAACAAAGAGAAGAACCAAGGATTAAGACCTAACACCATACACAAAAATAAGCTCAAAATGGATTAAAGACCTAAATGTAAGGCCAGAAACTATCAAACTCTTAGAGGAAAACATAGGCAGAACACTCTGACATAAATCACAGCAAGATCCTTCTTGACCCACCTCCTAGAGAATAATGGAGATAAAAACAAAAATAAACAAATGGGACCTAATGAAACTTCAAAGCTTTTGCACAGCAAAGGAAACCATAAACAAGACCAAAAGACAACCCTCAGAATGGGAGAAAATATTTGCAAATGAATCAACTGACAAAGGATTAATCTCTAAAATTTACAGGCAGCTCATGCAGCTCAATAACAAAAAAATAAACAACCCAATCCAAAAATGGGCAGAAGACCTAAATAGACATTTCTCCAAAGAAGATATACAGACTGCCAACAAACACATGAAAGAATGCTCAACATCATTAATCATTAGAGAAATGCAAATCAAAACTACAATGAGATATCATCTCACACCAGTCAGAATGGCCATCATCAAAAAATCTAGAAACAATAAATGCTGGAGAGGGTGTGGAGAAAAGGGAACACTCTTGCACTGCTGGTGGGAATGTGAATTGGTTCAGCCACTATGGAGAACAGTATGGAGGTTCCTTAAAAAACTACAAATAGAACTACCATATGACCCAGCAATCCCACTACTAGGTATATACCCTGAGGAAACCAGAATTCAGAAAGAGTCATGTACCAAAATGTTCATTGCAGCTCTATTTACAATAGCCCGGAGATGGAAACAACCTAAGTGCCCGTCGTCGGATGAATGGATAAAGAAGATGTGGCACATATATACAATGGAATATTACTCAGCCATAAAAAGAAACGAAATTGAGCTATTTGTAATGAGGTGGATAGACCTAGAGTCTGTCATACAGAGTGAAGTAAGTCAGAAAGAGGAGGACAAATACTGTCTGCTATTTGTCCTAAGGGAAAAAAAAATGTCATGAAGAACCTAGGGGTAAAACAGGAATACAGACACAGACCTACTGGAGAACAGACTTGAGGATATGGGGAGGGGAAAGGGTGAGCTGTGATAGGGTGAGAGAGAGACATGGGCATATATATACTAACAAACGTAAGGTAGATAGCCAGTGGGAAGCAGCCACATGGCACAGGGATACCGGCTCAGTTCTTTGTGGCTGCCTGGAGGGGTGGGATAGGGAGGCTGGGAGGGAGGGAGACAAAGAGGGAAGAGATTTGGGAACATATGTATATGTATAACTGATTCACTCTGTTATAAAGCAGAAACTAACATACCATTGTAAAGCAATTATACCCCAATAAAGATGTTAAAAAAATAATAAAATAAAAAATAAACGCAAATCAATCAATCTGATACAAAAAACAAAACCAAAAAAAGACCTAACAAGCAGTGTTAACAATGGTCAAGTCATGTAAGAGGCAGCTCTGCCCAAGAGAACTTTCTGCAATGATGATAACGTGGAATACTTGTGTGTTGTGACGGTAGCTTATGTGAGAATCCAGCACTGTGCCCGCTAATCTTTCAGGTGATTCTTTCCCGTTTGGGGTAGTCTGTTCACACACAGGCATCAGTCTTTATCTTGCTAAATAATAAATTTGAACCTTTTACAAATCTTTGGAGTCTGCTCTCTAGGCAGCTTTCTGCTCTCTGGTACAATGTCTTGCAAATTTAGTTGCCCTGGTCTCCTTGCTCTTACCTCCATCACCTCAATTCAGAGTCTGCTAGGCTCTGGATGGGTTTCCACCTTGTGCCACACCTGGAAGTTCTTTTAAGTCAGTAAGTTAGGTTAACTTGGGCTCACTTTGTTTCCCATCTCTCAGGAATCATATTCTTTCACTGTCTGATGTTATATCCTAAATACCACTGTTCTCTATATTTTGTCCAGTTTTTTGGTTGTTTCCGACAGGTTCTTGTTACTTCATTTTGGCCAGCAGTAGGATTCTAGGAACTGAATTTTAAATTTCATTTAATTCTAATTAAACAGTCACACATAGCCACATGTGACTGTATTAGACAGCATCAGAGTAGAGGCTCACTCCCCAAATCTAGCAGAATGTGACAGTAAGACATGGTTTAAATTGAGAACAAGTTCATTGTGATTCTTCCTTTTGTTAACTTTTTGTAAAATTATACTGGCGTAAAGAATGATGTATATATGTGATACGTTCAAAATGGGCATTTTGGACTAAAGTTAATGTCAATACTGTTCATTCAACAAAAACCTATAGAGCGCTGACCACTCCTTAGGTGTAAGGCAACTGATTAGGTACTACAGGAGATACAAAGAAGACATAGTTCCTGCTCTTTGGGGCTCACAATTTAGTGAGATAGGCTAAATAAATAAATTATATTAAAACACGAAAGCAACCATGAAGGCAGGAAACAAATGTTGCAGGTGCACAAAGAATAGAGCAACTAATAGTAAATGACATGAGGGGTGGTAGTGCTGGGGTCTTTACCAAAGACGGTATTTTTGTGACATTATTAAGAGAGGGTATCTGAGTGACATTATTAAGAATGAAGAAATTAATTTGTTAAACATTCATTTAGTACCTACTTTATGCCAGGCCCTGTGCTAGAAACTGAGAATAGAAAAATGCGTACAATATCATATCTACCTTCAAGAGGCTCATGAGCTAATGGGGAAGAGTATAATGTAGAGTGACAGTATCCAGAGAGGACAGTCAACTAGAGCAGTGGTATTAAGGACGAAAAGAGAGTATCCTAGAGATGTAATTGTTTCCTCTAATCTTTTCCTTCCATCCACACTCGCTTCTCACACTCCCCTACTTTTCCTAGTCTGCTACACTAATTCTCTATCCAGCCAGAGTTGACTGAACAGCAGTGGACATAAATCCCAAAGGAACCAAGTCATATGATGGGCTAAACCAACCAAATTCTTTCTTGAGAGAGACAGATATAAAAATAGTTAGGCACTGTTGAGCCTAAACTGGGAGATCAGGGATAGCTAGTGGTAGGGTGGTCATTATTCTTTATTATTATTATTTTTTCATTTGAATGTCATTGCAGAGAAAGCCAATCTGCATTTATCAAGAATTTTCAAGAGAACAGAAGAGACTTTGTCTGTTTTGCTTACTGCAATGTCTCCAGGACCTAATACACACACACTGCTTGGCCATAAGCTTTCTCTACATTGTAATGTTTTTGCCCAGTGGCCATGGTAACACAGTGGGAACTTTAATGCAGAAGGAAATCATAAAAGGAAAGAGGGTGGCTGCACTACATGGTATGCAAACAGTGATTCCCTAGTTGAGGACAAAAACTTTCCCATCAAATTGCTTTCAACAGGTATAAATTCTGTGATTTGTAAGATTCAAAAAAAATGAAAGTAGAAGTAGGATTGTTTTTGTTGAAAACTTACGATAAGAGCCATCTGGGCTAATTTCATCACTTATAACCAGGCAGGTAATCTGAGAATAAGGTAAAGGATTATTTCTATTATAAGGACTAACAATCATTCCAATGAACTTTGCACCGCCTCTGGAGAAGTAACTCTACAATTTAAAAAAAAGTATAATTAGTTTCAACCACATAAATTTAAAACTCAGTATTTACCCATACCAACATTTTAAACATCCAACAGAGGAAAATGGAATGCAAAAGTGTGTTAAAAACTTCACTTCCAAACAGCAACTAAATTTATTCCATACCCTAAAATTTTCAGGCCAAAACATGTCCCAACCCAACCTGAACAGATCCCTTTTTTTTTTAAGATCACCCTTAAAAAGATCACCTGGCCTGCAAAATCTATATTTGCCATGAATGCATTTACAAATTATATTCACTAGCCCCTCAGCTGTAATATTTATCTATATGGTAATAATTTACAAACAGCTGCCTACAGCAGGAACATCCAGATATCAAACATAAAATTGCAGAATAAAACAAAACTCTGTTTTTTCCAGAGGTGCAAAATATATTATATTTCCAATTATTTTAATTGTACCCAGTCCCTGTCTTAGTTATCTCCATCATTTTTAAAGGCTCTGGGGGGAATTATCAGTTACTTTGATGTCTTGTCTATATTAAACAGAATAGCTAATTTTCTAAGTGTTTAAATAAACATGTATTACTCTTGTAATCACTTTGCTAGAAATGTTAAAAGTGTATTTATTTAACAGAAAACAACGAGAGGGGAGAAAATATTGAATTATTTACAGACTACATACAAAAAGACCTATAAACACACCTGGTATTTGGCTTGAGTGTCAATATCTCGTAAGGAAGGATTAGGATCAAAGGCAGGATGAGAATGATACCATCCAATAACACTATAGCCCCTGACAGCCAAGGTTTCCGAGGCTTGTGTTTGTGAGACGGGATCCATCTCACACTGCAGTCCTGTACTCAGACTGTTACACGGTTCTGCTGCACAGACCTATAAAGGATTAATCCTTAAATGATTATACTGAAATCCTGTTAATTCTACTGTTTCAGTCCTTTCATACACAGATACAGAAACTTTTAAAAGCCAAGCCTTTTATCTGCCTATATAATAGGCAGCCTTTAACTTGCAAACGAATTACTCTCCAAAAGTGTGATTGTATGCAAGGAACTCAAAATCCATTTTCCTACTCAAGACAAGTTATGGGTTAGTTTTCCAGGTCCGTCTGTATAGTATCTGTTTAAACACAGTCTTTTGATGACCCTTATTACTTATGATAATAATTTCTAGCAAAATGATGTATACCAGGTTTCAATTATAAGGATGGCGCATGTTTCTTGGTCTCTGGCCTCTTAGGAGTTGAAGCTTTTAATTGGCAAAGGCAATGAAGAACTGAGGCCTGGTAATGTTCTCTCTTTCTCAGTGGTAAAAGGAAACAGGTGCTCAATATATGGAATGTTCAGTCACCTCTGGGAATATATAACTGTCCACATTTGCATATTCTCATTTATATCATAGATGAGGTTTATATGTTAATTATACACACTGAAATCTATAAAAATATTTGGTATGGCAGCAGGGCTAAATAATTTTAAAAATTTTAAGAGAAAACTTACCTCAACTATCTTATCAACTTCTGAGTATCTTCCTCCTAACAGACCAATCACTTCTGCCATAGAAACATGAGCATGCTAAAAGAAATACAAGATAAGACTTAGCTCAAAGATACAAACCAAACCCACCTGACCAAAAAATCAGAATAAATCTCACTTATCATAGAAGAGTCATTTACAAGTACAGTAATTATGCTTCTCTAAAATGAAATAGCATAGTAGAGGAACCAGATGCTAGGCTCAGCACACAGAGACTTAAGATTTTAGACCTATCTGTACTGCCAGCTGAGAGGCTTTGAACCAAACACTGAAACACTCCGAGATGCCATTTTTTTCATTTACAAAATGAAGATACCATTTGCTCCGCCTACTGAGGAAAGGTATCATAAGGATACAAAGTAAAAATCACTCTGGGTCCTCCTATAGAAAACACCATAAACACACACAACCATTGGAGATCTCTGTAGTTTAGTGCAAAACAAGGAGTCTCCAAATTATAAGAGTTGTGCTTTGTTGCAGTTATCTCGAAGGCAGCAGACAAGAATACTAGGAAATTAAAATCGGGTTAATGATGATAAACAGTCTGCAAAAACTCACATTAATTTATTTTCTCTAAAATATGGAAACATGCAATTGTTTGGCTTTTCTCCAAAAGAAAAGACTTATTTTTTAGATTCCTTGTAAAGGAGGATAGTTAAGATCCAAAATACACGTCTTCCATACTCTCTCTTATGCCTGCAATAAAAATACACAAGAATAGAAATCAGAATAACTGAGTAAGTAAACACAATATAATATCCTTACCAAATCCATTATTAAAAGTGCTTCTGAAGCCACTTTCACCTGAAATGGCTCCTGAAATATAAAAAAAAAAAAAAAAAAAAATGGGGGAGCATAAAAATAGAGATTTTGTTCTTCCTATCGGAATGCCCACCCTTTTCTCCTTTATCTATCACACCAAGTTCTCACCACCAACCAAGGCTCAGCACAAATCAGACTTTTAAAGAAATACATGTATAATTCAAAGCCCTAGCATGGAGAAATTCTTTTCTCATTTTCCATCTGTATCACTCATCTGACCTTCAGTGTACCCTGCCTTATCCAACCTTTCTTATACACATGCCTTGCACACACAGAAAAAGAAGAAATATTTCATGTCTGAGAGGAGGGTATTATTTATGGTCATTCAGTGATGAATAAGTAGTACCTGCTTTTCTTCACTGAAAAAATTACAAGGTATCAGTTGGAAGGGATCGAATGAGCTGGAAAAGGAAAAAGAAAAAAAAAATCATTCCTAATATAATTTCAATAACATAATCAGGAAAATAACATTCATTTACAAATTTGAAAATGTGTACCAATAATCTAAACCTAAATTCTGTCTGAGTGAAAAAAATATTAAACTAGAAGAACTTCTTGTGATACAATCCTTTTGAAAGAAGCATTGTTCTTTCGGACTTGATGAAATATTTGGGAAACAACATGACCTTTGGGAAAAAGTAATTCTGTTGTCTTAATTTCTTTTAACACCCAAAGAGGAGAACATTATAAATGGCCAGACATGTGTCCTACACTGAAAGTAGGTTTCAAAAGTTCAATGAAAACCTAAACCTGACATAAGATAGGAAAGAAAGTTCAAGAAAGATGGAAGTTTCTCAGAAACACCTCTGTCAGTACAATGTGTTCAGCAGAGTAGGGACTCAGTAAGTATTTGCTGAATGAATAAATGACAAACAGTTCTGTTAAAGAAATTAATGGATATCGAAAGTTCTATGATAAACTCATCTTTTAAAATGAAAAAGTATAAAAGATGGAAAGAGGGACGCCTAAGCAAGGCTAGATACAAAAGTATGTGCAAATCTGAGAGAAATATTAGAAAGGCTTTGGCCAATAAAGAATTGAGGTTTGAGAAAAATATTTAAAGTGTTTTTAGGCTACGGTCAGAGAAAACAAACAGCGAATATGTTCATTTTAACAACTGGAAAAGAGCAGAACTATTTAGTTCCTATTCTACCAGACACTTAGTGCTAGGAGATCAGATACTTTGTTTTGCTGAATACTGTATTGCAAGTACCTAGAACAGTGCTTGACACACAGTAGGCATTTAAAAAGTGTTTGCTGAATGAGGAAGATCTTCAAGTTAGAAAGTGCTTAGTCAATGCAAATAAAAAGAAATGAAAGGTCAAGATAGATGAGAAAATAGAAAGAAAGCATATGCATCCCAGAGCACTTTGAAGAACCATCACGTGAAATCACCATCAACCCTTTTTGAGGAACCACAGAGAATGAAAAAATTATTGGAGGACTAGGAATAGGCAATTATTGGGCCTGTTTTCAAAACACAAAAAAAGCAGCAGAAGAATTAAATGTTGAGTATCAGGAAAATTCTAGAAAAGGTTATTAAACAGCTGATTTGTGAGCCTTTAGCAAGAGAAGAGGTGACCACTAAGAACAATAATGGGTTCATGAAAATATAAGTCATGACAGGTACACCTAAATTTCATTTTTGATAGGAATGATCTGCTAGAAACTAGCAGACTCATAAAGACTCAAATATATTGTTACTAAATGTAAGCAAGACATCTGCTATGATTATTCTTCTGCATAAGATGAAGAAATAGTTAATTGTGGTAATATATAGCTCACTGAACAATGATGTCTGAGGTTTATTTACATTTATCTCATTTAAACATTTTAATCAGTGATCAATGATAGAAAAGGCAAGCTTATTGAAATGTTGATTCAAAACTACGAAGAAAAGTGGATATGGATTCAAAAAGGTCCTGACAAACTGGAAGAATGACTTGAAATTACAATAAGTATGTCTCACATTTAGATTCAGAAAATCAAATGTGTGGACACTAGATGAGGAGTCCTAGCTTATGGACAACTGTATTTTCTTACATAGTTAATCTCATTTAATTTATTCTCACAACTCTAAGTTTTGATTTTAATTTTAGAGAGGTGATAGGTAATGTAATGGTTAGGAATATGGATTCTTAAGCCTTAATGCCTGGGTTAAATCACACCACCACCATTAACAAGCATGGGCAAGTCACACAACCTCTTTGTGCCTCTCAGTTTCCTCATCTATAAAATGGGAATGATGACATTAACTACTTCATAGAGTTGTTATGAGGATTAAATGAGTTAATATATATGAAGTGCTTAAAACATAGCCAACAGTGTTAGCTATTATAGATATTATTTTATAAATGAGGACCCAAGGCTTACAAAGGCTTTGTGTAACTTACTCAGGGACATACAACTGGTTGAGTATTAGGGCTCTTTCCATTGAAAATAAGCAAGTAGCATTCCTGGATGTCTTGTTTTAAAGGGACACTGACAAAACTATAGTCTAGGGCTTCCCTGGTGGCACAGTAGTTGAGAGTCCACCTGCCGATGCAGGGCACATGGATTCGTGCCCCGGTCCGGGAAGATCCCACATGCCACGGAGCGGCTGAGCCCGTGAGCCATGGCCGCTGAGCTTGCATGTCCGGAGCCTGTGTTCCACAATGGGAGAGGCCGCAGCAGTGCGAGGCCCGGGTACTACAAAAAAAACCAACCAAACAAACAAAAAAAAACCCCCCAAAACTAAGTGTATTTCATGGGTCGTCTGCAGGAAGTGAGGGTCTACAAAATCAAGGCATTTAACTTATTTGGTGACCCTTAATGTTACAAGTTAAATATTTTAAATTATTAAAGAAAAAACCTAACATTCAGCATCAATCAAAGAGAAAACTACTCATTTCATGAGGTTACCTGTTCATAATGTCTAAGGAGTTAAATGACCACCTGTCACAAACAAGGCCCCCTTACAACATATGATGGATCCTATATTCACTGAACATGAACAAATTAACACTTTTGCTCAAGGTCTCCCAAATTAATAATCAGTGAAATTAAAAATTTCAGTTTTTTTAAAATTTATTTATTTTATTATTTTATTTTATTTATTTATTGTTTCTGGCTGCGTTGGGTCTTCGTTGCTATGCGCAGGCTTTTCTCTGGTTGTGGCAAGCAAGGGCTACTCTTCGTTGCGGTGCACAGGCTTCTCATTGTGGTGGCTTCTCTTGTTGCGGAGCACGGGCTCTAGGTGCGCGGGCTTCAGTAGTTGTGGCACGCAGGCTCAGTAGGTGTGGCTCGTGGGTTCTAGAGTGCAGGCTCAGTAGTTGTGGCACACAGGTTTAGCTGCTCCGCGGCATGCGGGATCTTCCCAGATCAGGGATCAAACCCATGTCCCCTGCACTGGCAGGCGGATTCTCAACCACTGCACCACCAGGGAAGCCCCTTCAGCAGTATTTTTTTTTTTTTTTGGCGGTACGCGGGCCTCTCACTGTTGTGGCCTCTCCCTTTGCGGAGCACAGGCTCCAGACGCGCAGGCTCAGCGGCCATGGCTCACGGGCCCAGCCACTCTGCGGCATGTGGGATCTTCCCGGACCAGAGCACGAACCTGCATTCCCTGCATCGGCAGGCGGACTCTCAACCACTGCGCCACCAGGGAAACCCCAGCAGTATTTTTAAACTTAATGTGGACAATGTAATGTTGCAATATCAGATATCCCTTCCATACATTTTCTAATCATTTGTGATAAGTTTAAAAAAAACAAAAAAATCACACTTATATAATGTCACACTATACCTTTTTGTTGGCCTTGGCACTTTTGAAGATTTACCAGGTTTGCATTTTTCCTCTTCTCTTCTTCTTGCCAACTCCTCAGCAGAGAGATGCTAAAAAAAATATATATATATATATATCATCTGATCAAAGAGTCCATCAACCACTGAGAGGGAAAGTTAATAAAGAGACACCACAGCATAAAGCTAAAGGGCACAGATTCGGCAGCACCCTGGCCAAGTTACTAAAGCTTTCTGTGTTTCAGTTTTCCTCATCTTTAAAATGAGAACAATAATAGTAATAATAACAATGTCATGATGTTATGTGAAGATTAAATGAGTTAATGTTTCCAAAATATTGACAATAATGTCTGACACAGTAAGTCCTTTATAAATATAAAATAATTCTCTTTCATTTCATTTCTATTACCAATCTTATATTCTAGCCCTTATGAACTATGCACCTTTTCCAGAATATATCTGGTATTTTCCTATGTCTGTACCTTTGCTTATGCCTCTCCTTCAGCTTGGGGTTGCCTCATCCACATTTCCACATTTTGAGATTCTCCTGCTCATCCTTCAAGTCACAGATGAAAAATCACATCTTCTGTGAAACCTTCCCTGATCACATCCTTTGGGAGGACCTTGTATTTCTTGGGACCAATCTCATGGAATTTACCATAGGTTTTACCTTTCCTACTAGAAATGTAAGTTCCTGGTAGGCAGGAACCATGTGTTACTAATTGTTTTGCCTAGAATAATGCTCAGATGTGAGGCTGGGTGCAGGGAATGGGGAAGAGAAAGAAGAGAACTAACATTTACTGAGTACCTGGTGTACGCAAAGGCTTTTACTGAGTACCGAGTATTAGGACCTTCATACATTTTATTTCACTTAATTCTCACAACAATCTTTGAGGGAGATGTTATTATCCACACTTCATAAATAAAGCCCTGAGATTCAGTACAGTTACCCAAGGTAACAAAGCCAGTCAGTACACATTCACATATTATGTCCATTTGACTGAACTGGTTGTTCACAAACAAATTATATATGCACAGAACACACGTGCACACATACACACAAATACTCACTGCCTATGTTTCTTTTTAGGACCATAATTTCTGTTAGTAGAAATAATACTTTAACATTTGTAATTCAATTTATGTCTAATGCATGGAACAATATTTTAATCGGTATTTAAGAACATCATTCAATGACTTTACTGAAATGAACAGGGCACAACTCCCTGGCACCTTGGCAGATATTCTGGAGCTAGAGACCAGAATATAGAGACAGATAATCAAAGTTCTGAAAATTAGTCAAACTCCTAGTTAACTGTACCATCAGTGCCTTCTTTGTTGTTTACTGATGACTTCTAGACAAACAAATTAACATGGGAAAGAGACATCTATCTATATCTATATCTATATCTATATCTATATCTATCTATCTATCTATCTATATATATATATACACACACATAAAACAAGGGTAATATATGTGACATTAAGATATACAAATGTATACTGACAAAACAACTTTCATTTCTGAGTCACCTGCAGGGATCAAAGTTACCTCAAACGTTTGTCCTTCTAAGTCTTTTGCATCACACCAATTTCCCCACGGGTCTCGGACCCTACGTCTCCTTGTGCGCTGTGATGAAATTAAAAATAAAGCAAAAGGTCATAAGATTAGCTTGGACAAATCACAGCACACTAATACACAAAACCAAACTGACAATTTTCTAAAATTCAATTTCTCCATTAAAATACTGCAATACCTGATCAGCAATGCCTGACTATATTTTATTAATTTACATTGAATAGTTAGCACTCTGCTCAGAAATAAATCAGTGATGATTTTCTAAATTTTATTTCAATTTCTCTTTAGTTTTCATTTCCTTTCACCATTTGGGAGTTACAACTGTAGGACAAGAATATTTTTTAGGACCAAATAATCACCATGAAAATGACTTTGTGGTAGAAAACTTGCAAGAACACACAGCCAGAGGTATAATATTGAAAACTAGAAGCAAAATAATTATATCTCAGGCTTAGGAAAAGATTGCCTAGTTAATACAAATAGTAAAAAATTATAAAGTTGGTTGACTGGATTAGTAATATCCAGTTTTGCAAACATCAGTACTGAAGCCTTTAAAATGGACCAGCTGCCAGAAGCCAGTGTATGAATAGCACCACCTCCAGCAACTGTATATGAAAACATCCTTTCTTAAAAAAGTAAACTAGGTAGAAATGGTTTACAGCCTAAACACTGAGAAAAATACCTACTCTATCATCTATACTTTTTCCATTTATCTTACCTATTACCAATTTAACCTATTTTATCAGTAAAGTCAACAAGACCACAATATGACTCTGCCTTTTAGGAGACTTGTTGGATCACTTATTTTCAAGATGCATGCATTTTAAGATACTATCAAACTCACTAACGTCAAGAATTAAAAAATAAAGGCTAAAATATTTTGAATGGCACTTCTACAAAGCTAAATCTTACAGTAAGAATTTTCAGCAAACAAAAAACAAATGAAAGAGAAAAAAGAGCTAAACTGTATAGTTTTAAAAGATATATTAAAAAAAAAGATATATTAGATACAGAAATCAAAACAAAGCAGTCTAAGACCACTTTAGCGAAACATCATGCTTCTGTGTGAAGTTTGTGAGTGAATTTTTAAATTTTGGGGGTTTGTTTTTTGCCTCATAAATCAACATGAAACTGAATGGAAACCAAAAAAGTGAACGGCTTGGGTGAAATAAAAGCGAAAACATGTTCTTCTACTAGATGGCCATTTGTTAAACAGGGGAAGAGAAGTAGGCATATCTTTCTTAACAGGGTAAGGAGCAATCAGGAAAGATCATTTAGGGAGAGAAGGGACTGCTTACCATAGACTGCAGACGCTGGGCAAGTTGGTATGCTTCTACTGTGTCTTTTCTGTCTCTGATTCGTACTTTATCAACTGGTTGTGGCCTGTTATATACAGCCTGTTCTATTGGAATCCAGGAAAAACAAAACAATCTATTATTTTGTGGAACTCATTTGTTAAATAGGAAGGCACATCTATACTATTAATTATAAGCCAATATCTAAGTTTTTAAAAAAATATGAGCTTATTTCCACAATATATATTTGATGTGCTACTTGGTAGTTCTCACATAAAAGTATGCTGTTATTATAAGGAAATCACAATAAAATGAGACATTTAGGAAATGGGTCATTTGTTTAATTTCTGATTAAATGAGTGCTAAGCCCACTTTGTTAACTTTGCAAGTCTAATACAGTAAACATGATTTCATTTTTCTTTTAGTGGCTAAGGAAGGTATGACACCTTAGTTTTCCTGTAAAGCCGGCCCTAACACCGTGCTTTGGGCAAACAAGGATGCTGAAATGGAGGACAGATCCCAGGGCAGACTATAAATTCTCTCTCTACATGAAATGAAATAATCTCTGACAGGAAGTTTTCTGGTTGTCTTTTCATAGACACAGAATACAGAATATACTCCTCTCAAACTATGGGTTACAAGATTCTAATTAACTTATCACTTTGCAACTATGACTATTATCTTTCTTCAAAATTGTCACGTTAATTCAATAAAAGGGAGGAATACATTTTAAAATATGCTTAAATTTGAGAAAAACTAGGGTGAAAGAAACTTTCTACCACGAAAAATATTTTGGCACTTTTATTACATTTAAGTGTAGAGGTTCATAAATTATTTTCTTTATGTAAACACTGCTAGACAGTATTTCTAGCATTAACACAGTATTTCCAAATCAAATGGGCTTTGATTGGACTTTTCATAAAATTACTTTTACTTGACAAAGAACTGCATCCTTAAATCATTTCTACCAGTTAGACTGAATAGTCTTCCTTTAAAATCATACCACCAATTTTCAATGTAGGTTAAAAGGAAATATAGTTTATCAACAGAAATCTGTTTCAAAACAAAATCTCAATAATACATTTATTCTATAACGTTATAGCATCTTTCTGTATTCTATATCTATAATAAGTCTAACTTGAATTCTAACTATCAAAGAAATTAATGGGTGCTAAAAGGATAAAAAATGTCGAGTAAAAGATGTTGTTGGGTTTTTATTTTTACCACATCCAAAATTGATTGCTCCTATCAACTCGAGGTATGTATGAATCCGTCCAATACAATTAACATCCCCACAGTTCTTCAGGCCAGGACGTACTGAGGTCTTATTTAAGTATTTCGGTTTGCATATCTCCCTAAGAGATGGAAGTACAATTATTTTGGATAAATAAAAACATAAAAGAAGATTTCTGGGGGAAACTTTTAATATTTGAAATATTTTAAAAATGTACCCCCTCTCAATATGTAATGTGTACAGACAACGTTAATACATAATACCCAAGTGTACTTTCTTTTCTGAAATAAAATATCTTTCAATGATACAGTAACTTACAAGTATAGTGTGAGTTTTACAAGTATCATTTCTTCCCCAATAGATTCCAGTTATCCCAGGACTCTGAAGTTAGAGCGTTATTTATCTACAGATCCAAATGCAAGCCTGAATCTTTGAATAAAAAGGGTATATTCATAATATATTGAAAATATTTAGTATTAGACACTCTAATTTTTAATAAATTGCTTAGGTTCATTTACTTTTACTTTGCTGGACAACATCTTTTAATTACAAGCTACCTTGTAAATGCTTAAAAGTTTTATATTAGTTTTTAATCATTATGCTAGTAAATATTAAGTGCTCTCAGTGGAAAACAGAAATGGATACTACCGGGCATTCTAAAGGAATCAAGAAACGCACAAAGACTATGAAAGAAATAAGAGGTTTCCATAACAAAACACGTATTTACTAAATATACTTAATGTATCATATTAGACGGTACAACATAAAGTTTAAGTAACAGAGAACTTAATAACAGTAACAATTACTGAGTGCTTATAACAGATGCTGTACTAAGGGTTATATACAACTCTACAAAGCAGATTTTATCATTCTTATTTTAGAGGAAAGGAAACAAGTAGGTGAGAGGGATTAAAGCACTGACTTAAGAAAGTGACAAGATTCAAACACAGACTTTATAAACCAAGTATTCAGATATATCAATATAACATAGGTATTTCTTAATCAATCTTTATTCTACAAATGTTTATTGTGTCCTATACACCAGGCATTGTTCTAGGCACTAAGGATACAGAGATGAATCTGAAGTTCCTGAACTTACAGACCTTACATTCTAATAGTCAATAAATTAATGAATAATATATACTATGTTGTCAGGTAGCAGTATGTGCTAGGAAGACACAGTAAGAAGGATAAGGGGATAGAAATATGTACAGACTATTTTAGATAGGGTGTTTAGGGAAGGTCTAAGCAGAAACCAAATAGAAAATCATAAATTCTATAGAAGTTCAGGGAGGGTAAAAAGTAATCTGTGATGTGGGAGGGTATCAGAAGTTCCATTACAAAGGTGAGATTTCAGTGTATCTTGAAAGAAAAGTAAACAAACTGTGCAAATGGAGGCAAGAAAGCTGGAATGGGCATGGTATACCCAGCTATCAAAAAACTATCCGAATCTATAAACTGTATTGGTCTAATTAAAGATTATCCAAATTGAAAGGCTTTAAACAAAGAGCTTAGTACTAGTACAGCACTGAACAAATAGTAAGGCCTCTACAAATATCTGTTTATGATATAATGATGATTCACTCTTTCAATCTGCCTCTGTATTCCAAGCATTGTTCTAAGCACTAGGGACGTAACAATGAACAATGAACATGGAGCCTACGTTATCATGGGAGGTTGGGGAGAGAGGAGACAACACACAAATAAAAATATAATATTTTCAGTGGTAATAAGTTCTATAAGATACATAAAATGCAGGGTTAGAGAATGAGAGGGAGGAGATATGTGAGTTACTATAGACACAGGGTGGTCAGAGAAGGCCTCTAATTTCCCTTGAGCAGAACTGAAAGAGAAGAGGAAGCAAGATTCACCAAGATCTGGTGGGGGGGGGGGGGAACATGCAAGGTGGCATGAAAAGTCAGTCAAGGCCCAGAGTTGAAAGTGTGAAAATAATGGGTCAAGACTGCAGTCTCCGGAATCACCTTCACCTAATGTGACCTGGAACAAGTTCCTTTTCCTCTCTGAACCTCATTTTGCTCACTGTAAAATGAGGACAAGGCTGTCAAGAGGACTAGAGATGACTTAAATACAATGCATTGCATTTGGTAAGTATTCAATAATGATACTGATTACTATTCTAATAAAATATTCCCCTAAACAGGGAGTTAACTGCATGTGCTTTTATGGAAAGGATCTTTTAGCAACAAACAAATCTAGCAGGACTTTTTTTATCTTTAAAACTTTAACTCTTCCATTTTTTTAATACTGCCTCTAGTCTCTAAACACTCTCTTCTATTTCTGAAGAGAATAGGTTTGAGTTCCTGTTCAAAACATTCCTTTTTGCTTTCACACTGTTTGGCTAAATCATCATACTGAAACAGCAATATTTAACTGGTTTCATGAACTAAGGCAAATGACATTAGGAAACTACTGCCATATAATTTATGCTAACCATATAAATTATTCTGCCTCATAAATCCAAAATTCAAAGTAACAAATGAAATTTGATTACAGTAACATTAAGTAGTCACTGATAATTTATAGACACTTTTGAGTTAGTCATTATTTTGAAGCACTTTTATTTTGGCCATTCATGCTCTTATTTCCAAAAACAAAATTAGATACCAACAGAAATTTAATTTAATTTGTCTTTTTTAATAGTGTGAATTAGGCAATGTGGAATAATGGAAAGAG